AAAAAAAAAAAAAAAACATATTTGATCATTGTTCATCATCATCATCTTTTTCAACCACGAGTCCTCAAAGCAAAGAGCGAAGAGAAGAAAGGAAAGCCATGGCCAATAAAGAGATGAAGGACAAGATCGATAATCTCGATGTCCAATTTCGTGGCATGAGCGAAGCTATAGATACGTTGGGCGAAGGACTCGACAATAACAAGGCAACAGTACAAGATCTGATGGAAACCGTGAACAGGCGCTTTAACGAGATGGCGCGCACGGTTCTCGCGCGCCTACCGACGCCGCGGCAACACGACCGCGCACAATACCACGATCGCGAGCGGGACGAGGGCGAGGCACGACGGCACGAAGGATACGAACGCGAGGTGGATTTTGACCGACAGTCCCAAGCATCTAATTATCGCGATTGACGTGCAACCGACAAGCCGCGCATCACGTTGTCCACGTTCACGAGCAGTGATCCAGACGCATGGCTCAACAGGGCGATGCAATATTTTGAGCTCAATGAAACTGATGGTCCAGATCGTGTAAGGTATGCATCTTATTATCTCGATAGTGAGGCCAATGTATGGTGGCAATGGCTCACAAGGGTTTATCGTAAGCGACAACAAATTATCACTTGGGATGTTTTTGAAAGAGAGTTGCTTACATGGTTCGGTGTTAGAGGTATGCTGTAAAAGCTATGTTCTGCAGTTTCTATCAATTCCATTTTGATCTGGCAATCATGTTTCGGTCAAAGTACATATGTTTGTAGTTTATTTATTTATGCAATACATACTCCATGTCTTATATTGAGGTAGTGTGGTTCGAAGAGTTTCGAACAGAAAGATCACCTACCGGTTCCTTATAAGACTAAACTATTCGTTCACAGTCTAGACTGGCAGTGAGACCCCACTTGGAAAAAGACTGTAGTGTATTCCTGATTCAGTTGGTCTTTGACTGAAGGATTACACTAGCACTTGATAAGTGTTGAACAGGACCGCGAAAGGCAAAGATTATGAGACTCACTGACCGTTGTTGTAATCTCGCCCTTTAGTGATTGATGCGTTCTCTTAAGCTGTAAAATAATATAAAATAGGCATATATTTTTATTTCTTATTTATTTGATTTACCAAGTGATTCCTATTCTGTTAGGATGACATACGAGGTACTTTGGTAAGTAAAAATAATTATATGATGTGCTATTATAGATATTACAGTCACTATGTTCCAGTGCGCTGGATTGATGACGTCCCCGAAATGAGATCAGAAAGGAACCTTATGTTAAACCCTGCAGGTAGACGATTGTCTGACATAATGGTTAA